AAAGTACAACTCCAATAATTATGCTGCCAGTGCCATATCACACTTTTTCAACTCCACCGAATTTTTTCACTCTACTTATTACTCCCTCCGTCCCTTTTTAATTGTCCACTTTAAAAATGGCACACAGATTAAGGCAACAATGATTAGCACAGTGAAATTACAATTTTACCCTTATGACAACTTTTCACTTCAAAATTACAACCACTTATTTGAATTCAAGTGAAATAAATTGGAGGGAAACAACATACACTTTTACAATTTTCAAGAAGTGTAAATAAGAGTATAATAGGAAAAAATTTGTTGTCCTTTCTTGATTTGTCAAAATGGACAACTAAATAGGGACAACCAAAAAAGGAAATATGGACAAGTAAATAGGGACGGAGGGAGTAGTTAATAAATAATGTATTTGTGTGTCACTCGTCGTGATTCACCCGAAACAAAATAACACATAAAATGTGAAAAGAAAACGACAAAAATTATAGAGTGAAATAAACGTGAAAGCTTTCGTATAGTGTGTGTACGTAGCACCAAAATAATTAGGCACAACCAAAAAAGGAAATATGGACAAGTAAATAGGGACGGAGGGAGTACCATTTACAAGTATAATATCCTTTAATTTTTAACTACATTGAAACTATATTCTTAATTCGATGTGCTCACCTTATTATACGAATAAATATTTATCTTACATGCATATATCACAATATTCTTAGTTCGATGTAAACAGTTTATATGAGTAAATATTTGTCTAACATAAATCTGAGTGCCATTGATATTATAAGTTCATTGGAAAACTCTCCACAAAAAATGGTCATTGCACAGCATCTAGGAACATTAGGGAACTGACAAGAAATAACTCCTCTGGTATTCAAGTTATTAATTGAGAGCTATGTCGGTACATACTTTTCCCCATAAGATTGGGATAAGACTCCAATTCAATGACTTCTACACAATGGTTGATATGTGGAAATAATAGCTAGAGATGGACAAAGTAGTGTTGTTGAAATAATGACATTAAAAAATGTAACCCCTTCATACTTATTGGATGTTTCTTTTTGTTTTTTACATTTGATATCTGATTTATGAGTGATATTGAAAAAAATTCTATTAGAAATTTTTTCAATTAAGATTGAACTTAAATTTGAGATTTCTAATTAAATATCAGAGAATCTGACACGACATCCTATCAAAACACTGATGGTCCTCCAAAGTCAATATGAGTTTCACATAGCACGCACAAAATTCAAATAAAAGATAAGATCAGTTGTGACTTGTGATCGTTTGTCATTATAAAAATTGTGTAATAACATCATGAGTCGTCTAAGATAGAGCAAAATAAATATTAAAAAGAAATTTAATCAACCCCAAAACTAGTTCAAATATTGTTAGTATGAATGCTTAAGAGTTCAACTTTTGCCTTTTGATAACAACTAAGTTACTAACGTATATAAAAAAGAGACCACACGCATTCGAAATACTAGAGGGGGTACGCTCAATGCATATTTATACGAGATATTTTTTATTTTTTTTATTTTCTGGCCAGAAAATTAAAAAAACTATAATATTTTTTTTATTTTAAAACAAACAGATCTTTTTTTCATTTTTTAGTTAGAAGTTATTAAAGTTAAAAGGGTAAAAATGTTTTAAAAGGTAAAATAGCATAAATAAAATATCATTTTGGCAAATTCTGACCAAATTTTCTGGCCAAAAAGTTTTTTACATAAAAAAAATATTATAGTTTTTTAAATTTTCTGGCCATTTAGCACTTTCCTTAACTTAATTGTTCAATTTTCAAGACTTCTTTTAAGGAAAAATCCTTTTGGCCAGAAAATTTAAAAATATATGTTATTTTACCTTTTAAAACATTTTTACCCTTTTAACTTTAATACATTTAATTAAAAATGGAAAACAAATCAGTTTAACTTTAAATAAAAAGAAGGGAAAATTATATATAATAGCAAACTATTAATTCAAATTAAATGCTATAAATATACTTTGATTTAATTGTACCCTATAGCAAACTATTGCTATTTTCGCCACTCTCCCTGGTGGAATCTCGCTCGCCACTCTCGTTTGGTGGCAGTCTCGCTCCCCTCTCTCGCTTTTATACAAACACAAATGTATAAAATGTGTTTGTGTTTGTATAAAGTGAGATGAAATTGTATATATACATATATTTTCGTTCACCTTTCTCAGATCTCGCTCGCCACCCTCGCCTCTCTC